CCTGATGGCTCTGAGATCTTGGATTCCAGTAATGGCTGCCGTTAGCAGTCCAGAGGTATATAGTTAAAGTCTTGTATGTATACACGCACACTAGCCTGCGTTTTTTAAAGAAAAGCGGAGACCCGGCAACGTTGCGGATAGGAGTGAAAGAGAGAGTGACACGGACAGGAGCTGCGTAGCGTCAAGCGTGCGTTAGTGAGGTTAGAGGACGACCAACGCGTACACAATATGCATAATTTTGAATAATTGTTTTCCTTTCCGATCCAAATAGAAAGCCGCGCTAATGTTGCTACGTACATCTGCTGCGCGCACGGCGCGGCGCGGCGTTGCCGCGTCTCAGCGGCGACTCTCCTTCCATACGGCGACTTGTTTCGAAGTGCTGTCGGATACATCACTTCGAACCTCGATAACTCAACAACGGCACCGCTACGGATTCCTGTTCTTTTTTATATTATTTCTAGCATCGTCCTGCATCATATCCCACTTTTTTTAGAACAATCGTATACATATCACAATCGCTGTGAATTGAAATGTCACTTGAGCGCACGCTTGGGCTTTACCTTACATGTTAAAAGCTGCAACTTTGAAAATTAATAACTCGAATTCGGTACCGCTATGTTTTCTGGAATTTGGCGGATGTATCAATAATGATATTAATAGCATACAGTCTAAATTTGAAACATTTTGTATAGAAATTGATTAGCCGGTGAACGTCCTTAAGTATGTATTGCTAATAAGTATGTGTTGCTACCAGAATTGCAGCAACTGAATTATTATTTGTTGGCAACTTGATGCCTTCACGATATAACATTGAGTAGCAACTTGACAGCAATTCGCCGACAACTTTAAAATCGTCAACATCAAAGTTCGTACTATTGGCATCATGTTGTTGTAATAATATGCAGTATCATACAATGCTGTCATATTGCCGACAAGGCAAGATAATATTGACGCAGCTATCTTGCTATTAAACTGCTGGTAATACATATACACATTGTTGTCTGAATGTTGCTAAAATGTCGGTATATTCGAAATTGTTGAAGACAAATCTATGGCAAGTTACCAGCATCATAAGCAATCACAAATTTGTGCGATTTTACTGAGGTACGCTTTGCTATTTGGAGTATTATCAATTTTTTATTTTAATCATCACTTAAATTTTAACAGTCACGCGAATTCCATAGGCGCTGACTATCTTTAATAGTATCTCGTCGATGTTTAATAACAAACATTTAAATGGAACGTTGAAATGCTTATTTAGAGAGAGAGAGAGAGAGAGAGAGAGAAATAAAGGAGAAAATGAGACAGAGCAACTTACTTATTCCACGCATGCGCACTCCATTTTGACCAACATAAAATTGGGAGAATTGCGCTACTGTATATACTGTGATTCAATTGCAGGTAGCGATTGATTGTACCACAATCTACAAAGTTTTTACAATATTTTTAGGAGATAAGGGTCTTGCTATTGTTAGATCTAAACGCGGTCCGGCTGCTGCGATGAGCGGAACGGCCAAACAACAATCGCAATCCTCTGTGCTGGCCTCATTTACTCGAAGAATCCTATCATATGGTCGCAATATACCATCACATGGTCCACCGGGGCGCAAACGATTTATGTAAACTCCTCGTTCGTAAAGACCATCCGATACCGAGAAACCAAAATCTTCATAAACTGGATCCTTATGAAGCGATACGTGCACTATTTGTTGGGATCTGCTGTTGGCACCATTGCTGCGCTCTTGTGTGCTGAATTTTTTAAATATAAAAAAAAGAAAACGTTAAACGAATGAATAAAAACAAAAGTTTTGAAAAAATCTTGATTGTGAGTTAATCAATTGATACTTCGGATAAGATGGTATCGACAAATCTAATTGTCCGCTGTCCATAAAGGCGGTATCCCAAAGTCTCAATATCTCCGGTATAGTACTGCTGTTTTCTTCCAATTCGCCCCAAGAATCCATCGCGCTGTCTATACTCGGAAGACTCTCTCTACCTGAGCGTAACGCACCATTAGCAAATTGTGCCTGAAGTGTATCACTTCCAATATTGAGCTCTTTACAATAACCCCTGCAAAAGTTAAATATCTTTCAAATCTTAATCTTAATATAAAGCACCGAAGATTAAATCACAAAATAGATATTCAAACCGGTGTGAGTCAACACAAGTTTATCATGTGTAAAATTTATATATTTGAAATAAAAAATTACATACGTTTCAACTCTTAGTATCGAGTACATATCCGTTCGTTCATTTCTTATGGCTTAAAACTTAAAAATCTATTGTAGATCGATCCGAACTAAAGGAGCACGGCAGTGTCTCACAATAACGCTTCGCTTGTTGTATAAACGCCATTGCACGTAAAAGTTTTAGGGTGCGTTCCGATACTCACTGCTAGTGCTGAAACTATACAGTATACGTTACGTGCGCTATAGATTTTCAGCATTGGCAGTGAATATCGGAACGCTTAGTCGTAACCTAAGATTCTAAAACGCGAAAAATTGATTGACAACGAGGCAAGCGATAAGTCACGTGACTGACTTCTCGTTGGTTGGTCATAAGGATAAGGTGTTAATCGTAATCTTTCAACGGAACGAAAACTTGCGACTATAGGTTTGTTTTCTGTTCCTGCACTGGTCGCACTAGTTCAAAAAGGTACACTACAGCATTTTCTGTACCCAAAATGGCGTCAGCGACGGTGTTTTTTTGTTTCAGTACAACAGAACTCAGTGCACGAGTTTACCGAACTGGCTGCACTAGGTCTTGAGTCAGTGTAAGCAGTGCAAGCACCGGTGTGCACTAGTTCAGCTACAGAAAACAGATCTCGCGTAAATGATGCATAGCAAATGGTGGCAAGTTCGAGAGTCCACGACCAATAAAAAACGGTAAATATATAGAAATAAAAACTTTTCTCGATCTAAAAAGACTTATATTTACATTTCAATACATTAAAAATGCATGCATACAAATAAAAACCGTCATAATTAGCTAAAAATCGTAACTATTGAGCATCAAATTTGTAAAGTTAGAAAATGTCATGTTAATGTGTAATAATTATACCACAACTACATTTTATAAGCAACGATTTCCACTTATTTATAATAGAAGTTGAAATATATCTTTTATAATATATACACGTATATTATATATACACATACATATATAAAAAATATATATATATTACTATTTATGTTATAAATGAATAAACAGAAATTATTGCTTGTTAAAACATTCAGTATTATATTATTAATTATTATGCATTATATATACAGCATAAGATTTTCTAACCTTACAAATTTGATACACAATAGTTAAAAATTTTTAACTAATGAGTTGTGACGGTTTTCACTTGTATGTCTGCATTTTTAATGCCATGTATTAAAATATACACATTCTAAAGTCTTTTAGGTCAAGAATAGTCTTGTCCATATACTTAGCGTTTTACACTCGATTCTCGTATCGAAAGGAAGAGAATTGGAATTATGGGAATATGGACGCCATTTTTATCTTACACTAGAACGTTTTCTATTCCTTACCTACACGCTTACACTCGTCAGTTCTGACTTGCACTAGTTCGGTTCAGTTCAGTTTTAGTGCAGTCCCAGTGCAGGAACAGAAAACAAACCCTATGATCACAGCTTTGAGGTTATGACGTTTCACTCGAGTTGTTTTTGTGCAGAAGCAATAATTAGTCCCGCAGTAGCCAATCAATGAATCGTTTTTTACGGTCTTACGATTATGATTACGATTTTTACGTATAATGGCTTGCGCCGAGACATTACCGTGTCTCCAGATTTAAATTTGGTAATTATATACTTTAGGAGAGCCCCCCTCCCCCCCCCCAATGACCTTGACCTTGACATATATTGGCTGAGTGGCCTTGAGGAAGTTTTAGCCGTCGGATGCTATTCGTTAAAAAGTTATAAACAAAAGAAGTTTAAGAAATAACTTCTCTTTTTACTATATGATGATGATGAAACGAAATTTTGTGCTTTAAAGTATATATATTCCACAACTTTCCACAATTTTTACGATTTCCCACACGAAGCGACTCTCACCCTCTCCTTTCCCCTGCTTCAGGGGCGTACGACTCTCACCTTCGACTCTCACCCCTCCTCCCTCCTGCTTCAGGGGCGCATGACTCTCACCTTCGACTCTCACCCACCTCCCCCCCTACAAAGGGGCGCATGACTTCCACATGAAGCGATCATTGTTTCGCATTAACCTTAGTTCACAGTGTATTGATATATCTTTGTTTTGATGTTTTCAGTATTTTCGAACGATTTTGATCAGTGTGTGTCAGTCAGTTAGTCAGTTCGATTGCTTCGACACAAGTAAAACGCTTTGCGAACGTTAAAAATGCATTTACATGAGTTTATTAAGATCATTTACAATTTAGACGGTTTGTGGAACTTTCTGTGTGAAAAAAAGTTGTGCGTAATGAAATAACATATCCAAGATGTCAAAATGTGTTAATATTGATTAATGTTAATGAAAACCATATATTTCATTGTAAAAAGCATTATTATAAAGTGGTTAAAAATCGAAAACGGTAAAAAGTAACGCGCAATTTCAAAATTAATGCGTTTCATGGAACATAGTTCGAACGAGCACATCTACAACTTCCTATAATATATCAATTCATTGGTTATTTTGAAATGATGCCATCACGACAACGGTTTTTGATGAGCGAATTAGAGATCATAGATCATACTGTTGTCGATTGAACGAATTTCTGTCGTGAGGTAGAAGGCATATGCTGTTCATTGTGCGCCCATGTATCATAATAAATAATATCTTTTGTGCAAAATTACTTTTGCTTCAGCAATGGATTGTGAATGGACAGCAACAAATTGGTGGAGAGGGTATGATAGTAGAGTTAAACGAGGCTAAAATAGGTAAAAGAAAATATAATTCTGGACGTGTAATCAGCAGTGTTGCCAACTCGAAATTTTCAAATCATTTTTCCTTCATATGCCTCTCGGAAATACTTCAGAAATAAGCTAAAACCAGTAAATGTTCACTGTGTAGAGAAAAGGGGGGGGGGAATGAAATAAATACGTAATTTTTATTTTATTTTTTCTATTTGAAATAACGAAATTAATATATCATTTATATAAATATGTAATATAACATATGTAATATAACATTTATATAAAATGTGATATGAAATTATTACATTCTTATAAAAGTGTCAATTTTCGTGCAAGTTTTACAGAAATATGGATATGTTTTTGATGCTATAAAACCAGTTCATTAGCGTGGGAAATAATTAAAAATGGTGCATGATGTACATCAAACGATGTTGAAATCACTCATACCAACTTGAATATTTCGCAATCTCAGGTTTATATCACACTATCGATAGTATCGATTAGCGATTGCAGGTTTACGCATGATTTGATTTGTCATTTACGTGTTACATCGCCTAAGAAAATTTGTATATACAGGGTAACGAATATCGATCATGAAACTTTTTCCCTAGGATGGAAAATGAAAAGTGAAAATTTTTACATATGATGATTAATTAGAATTTAATAAAAAAAGAATTGGCTTATTTTGAAGAGAGAATCCGCTCCTTCGATTTTCAAATAATCTAGACAATAAGTCATCAGCTAAATCACGATTTTTGCCCGCTAAATGACATTAAAATAAGCTAGAAATGGCGGAAAATAAGCCAAGTTGGCAACACTGGTAATCAGAGGTCAATGGGTTTTCGGTAGAATCGAGCGCAACACTAAGAAAACGTTTATTTTGCCCGTACCCAATCTGCAGAAACTCTTCTATTTTATTCGAAAGTACGTCGCGCCTGGTTCCACTATTCATACTGATAAATGGCGTGCATACGACGCTTTGTGTAATGAAAATTACACACATTTTACAGTCAATCATAGTACAAATTTTATAAATCCAGAAAATGGTGTACACACACAGAACATAGAACGATTCTGGAGGGATATACGTTCATGTATTCCTCGATATGGCATTCGAGATTATCATTATTTGCATTATATTGCAGATTTTTATTCAAAAGAGTGCATAATTATTATACAAAGATCGAATTCATGCTTTCTTCGACATTACGAGTTCCATGTATTCATTATATGATAATTAAATATTTCTTTGAAAATATATATTGATTACATCTTATTATCTTTCCTTATTGGAGGGAGGTGGGGTGGGAGTCGTTTCGCGTTGAAGTCACGCGCCCCCAAGCAGGAAGGGTGGTGGGGTAGGAGTTGAAGCTCGAATCGTATTCCTTTGCAGGGGGGAAGGGGGGTGAGAGTCGTGCGCCCCTGAAGGGGGGGAGGGGAGGTGAGAATCGCTTCGTGTGGGAAATCGTAAAAGTTGTGGGAAGTTGTGGAATATACTTTAAAGCAGGAAATCTCGTTTTCATCATCATATAGTAAAAAGAAGTTATTTCTTAAACTTCTTTTATTTATAACTTTTTAACGAGTATTGTCCGACAGCTAAAACTTCCTCAAGGTCACTCAGGGCGATGATCTTGACAATATATGTCAAGGCCATTGGGGAGGGGGCTCCCCTAAAGTACATAATCACCTTAAATTTTTAGTGACATTTGATTATAATAAATTTTATTATTTTTTTTATTAGATATTACAAATAATTTAAAAATGGATAGTTTGAATATTCTGTTATATAAATACGACAGATGACATTTAAATTTTAATTATTGACTTTTTAATAGTTAACGATGTACTGGCGACTTTGTATCATTTTTGTTTTATAATTTGTTAAACGGTTAATATCTCGTTAACTATTGTGCAAACTGCAAAATGGTACAAAACTTTTCGACTCAGGTCCGCTCTACCTGCTCATGATGGGTGATGCCAAATTTTAGGGACATCATTATTTACAGGGTGTTTCTAAATTCGCGGACACAGATTCCACAGCGTGATTGTATGTGCCAAAAGAAGCAACTTTTTTCTCTGACAAAATTGCATTCAAATAGTACTTTTTAAATAAGAGCAATTTTAAGTTAACGAATGAGCGCTCCACGTTACACATGGATCAGAGGTGGCGCACACACACGGCTCGGCGTATAAGTA